TAAAATCACCAGCCCTTATGCCAGGTTGGTCTGGATTCCAGTCCTTGCTAGGACACTTTATTAGCTGTGTGGCTGCAGGCATGTTACTTAACCTCTCTGAGCCTCAGTTTTCTTAGTAGTCATCTATTTGTAATTATGGTAGCTACTTCAAAAGTTTGATGTAGTAACTAGGTAAGATTATATATTCAAAGTGTTTGGTCCATAGTCAGCATTCACAGATGATAGGCATTCATATTTTTTTTGCTATCATTGCTAAAGTAAACTAGGGGAATATTCTGGGAAGGATATAGGCTTTGAATTCAGACCAACCTGGATGCAAATTCTGTCTCACATTTGCTAGTTGCTTCTCTGAACCTCAATTTCTTCATCTGTAAAAGAGCATAGGTTTGTGGCAAAGGTGAAATGAGATGGTTTATGGAAAGGTTTAATATAGGACCTGAAAAGAGTAAAAACCAACAAATGATTCTCTTGTCATTCCTCCTGTCATCGTCTGCATATCAAACACTGCTAAAGCATTAAAATGACATGGCTAGCAGCCTTAGCATTTACGGAATCCCTACTGTGTGCAAAGCTCTTTCCTCTGGGAAGATGGGATTAGCGTCATCCTCCCCACCGCTTAGTCTTTTTGGTTCCCTGTTTTCCTGGGTCCCTCTGGCTGGGTTGGGGCAGTACCTGCTTGAGAGGAGGTGCACACTGTTGATAAGCTCACCCTGTCCTCTGTCCTTCCCTGCCTCATCCTGCCTGCCCTCCATGATTACCCTGGTGAACTGAGTCTTTCCTACCCACTGAAGGCTGGATGGGTTTAGATACATTTCCCCAGACATCCTTGTTTTTTGCATTTTTCCTAGCTGAATCTCATTTTTCTGTTGGCAGCCCATTTTTCAATGTCTTAGAAAAAATAGATATGCCATATAAAAAATGGATATGTTTTTCACTTACAGGCTCCTCTGCCACTTCATCGAAGTGCTGTATGTTCATATCTAGGCTCACTGGTGGGGCGGGGGTGCATTATGTAATGATGGGCCCAATTCCAAGTCCCAAACCATTTCCTAGGTGGCTGCTATTTAAGGTAACCATTTTTTGGCCTAAAGCCTTTGGGCGGGGAGGTGGTGGGATTGGTGCTGTGGGGCAAGAGACTGGTCAGGTTCTTCCCAGCCCCCTCACCACACGGTTCCATCAGCACAGCTTGGCAGCAAATGTTACTTAGCACCTTCCAGAGTCAGGAATTTGTCAGTGGTGGGAATAAGGGCAGGTCAGGTCAGGTCTGGGGAGAACAGATATTTAGAAATACCCACAATGCAAGATAGCTGCCTGAATCAAGGCTGGTTTTCTTTTTTCTTTATTTCTCTTTTTCTTAGGTCTCAGCAGGCCTTAAGCCCCATGTCCAGTTGGCATGTCCTTAGGTGTGACTGGCAGACATGGCAGGCTTCATAACTGGTAGGGCCCAGAGCAAAATGAAAATGTTGTCCTGACTGGGGTGGAGAAGCCAGTCTCCTGTTCCCAAAAGCCTGTTGCCACAACCTGTGGGGGACAGGTGACCCCAAGAGATTATAACCTTCATACTCTTGGTCAGGGGTGGTGGAGAGGCCTCCACTGAGTCACTACCCCTTGAGCCACAGCTCTGCAAGCCTAAGGTAGGGAGGGCTGCCACCAGGCCTCTCCCCAAGGTGCTGTGGGGCTTGTGCCCAATGCTGGTGCCTGGGTGCTCACCAACATGGCCCTGTCACCATCTCAGGACTAGGGTGACAGCAGTGGCAGAGCAGGGAGACCCGTGAGGGTGGGGAGCAGGTGCTGAGGACCCTCCTGGGGAGGCATGGAGGCAGGCCAAGCCCCCAGTGTGTGCTCCATTGCCCATCAGGCTGCACTTATAAAACACTACAAAGATAAAAATATTAAGAATGGAAAATGGCAACTGCAGAGCAGTAAGCTCCAAGTGTGAAGATCTTCAGAGCACAAGGCCCTTAGGAATGCAGCACCCTTCGGTGAGCAGGCACCTGTGTGACTGCAGATTCCCGGGAGAGAAGATTATTGGTTCACTTTGAGAGCTGAGGTAGGGCAGGAACTGGGCCAGTTATCTAAGCCAAAGATGCAGGCTGTGGTCAAGGGGTTTGAGTGTGCACTGTGGGGCCCAGACCCATTGAGTAGATGGTGGGCGAGTCTCCAGAGAAAGTAGGGCTGTAGGCTAGGCTGGTGCAAAAGATCCTTCCTCTACTAGCATGTGGCAAATAAAAGATGGAGACTGTACTTCTGTCCTTAGTTTATTCAACTGTAAAATAAGAGCAAAATCTCCAAATGCCTAAGGGTATAAGAATTTTCATTTTGAAAGGTACTTGAGCTTTCTGGATAATGGGTCTACCTGAATATCATTGAAGCTGTGTGAGCCATTGATTTTGACTGCAGGACAAATAGTGGGGAGATGGGAGAATGACTAGGGGATACTTAAAGCCCCTTCTAAGCCCAAGTTCTTGTGCACTTCTTTCAGTCTAAACTTTAGAATTTCCATGCTGTGAATTATGAGAATTTTAAAAAGAATGTTTTCTTTTCCATTTTTCCACAATACACAAAAAATTCTTTTTCTTTGAAGAAAATTTTTTTTCCTCTTGTATCTCTGGGATGGAGGGAGAACCGGAAAGGAGGGAGAACCTAAGTCATCTTTTAAAGTATATCCCTTAAGATACAAAGTAATTTTAATGAAATGAAGAAAATAGTAACAAATTTAGGGACTGTATACCACTTTCTCTCCTCTTAAAAATATTCTGTCTCTTACTTTGATTTCTTAAAAGTACAGAATGGTTTTTAGCACCAAAAACAGGCAATATATATACTCAATGAATATTTGTTAGCATCTGCTCTGTTTTGAGCAGTGTTTTCAGAGCCAGGGGTACTGGAAATGGTCCTCACCCCTAAGGACCTAAAATCCTCACACATATGGGACAGGGTTTGAATTCATTTATTTGATTAACTCAGGATATAACCTGGACTAGGCTTCATTTCTCTCAGTGCTCTGTCCCCCTATCCTCCAAACTTGCTTAAAATGTAGGTAATTATAGTGATGGAACAAAATTATGAAAACTGCCTCATTAAGGGAGTCTCTATACATTTGGAGGTGTACCTCAGAAACACGAAATTACAGAAGAAATTAGTTGTTTTAGAAGAAGACTGGGACAGCAGAGCTTACATTCGAGGTGGTGACCGAGAATGATGGCGTCAGGAGCCTTTGCACCGAGTGCCGGGGGTGTTGAGAGACCCTTATCTGGACCAGTGGAAGGGACCCGGGCAAAGACTCCAGGCCCCAGTTGCTCACAGACATTCAGGTGGTGTGACTGCCATCTGGAAACACCCTCACCACCCATTCCTGTTCAGCTCAGCTGTCACAAATTACTTGATTTTGATAGTCCAAATTTGGTGCTATGGTGATTTCTTGCTTTCTGACCCAGAAGCTGCTGGGATTCATTTGCTTAGACGATAGAGAACACAGTCAGAGTTCCACCTTAATTACCTGTCCATTGCATAACTCTTTGTAAAGGAAGTGATTTCTTTTTTTCCTTGAACAGAGTCATCTATTCCTATAAGATGTCACTCTAACTTTGACTTGGGGTTCCATCTTGAAACTAAATGATGGCCAGTTACTTTTAAAATTAGGTTATCTTGTACATTTTAATAGTATCTATGAAATTGGTTAATATATATTAGTCAAAAAAACATGATAGTACCTTTGATAAAATACTTTAATATATTTGATATAGGCCCATTCATTACTAATTCTCTTTATGTCCCCCTACTTTTGTGAAGATAGTTGGGCTAGAGATAAGAGAGCAACTGTTATAATCTCTACCCATTATCACTGATTACTAAGGACAAAATACCATGTGGGTGTGTATTTATAATGATTAATCCTTACCAGAACTTCATGATATTGCTGGTATGATGTCATTTTACAGATGAAGTCAAGACTTGAGGAAATTAAGTGCAAGGTCACACAGCTAGACTGTGGCCAAGCTGGGGCTTGAACCCTTGTCTGATGTCCAGGTTCTTTCCACTCTGCTATGCATGTTCTCATCATCATTGCAAAAGGCTTTAGGATTTTATAAAGGAGAATACTAAGAAATACATTAAGTTTTTTTTTGGAGGATATGTGTCATTGTGGGCCCTCCACCCCTTAAGCATAGGCCTTTGGTAATCTAGTGACGGGAGGTGAGTGGAGAGGCACCAGCCATCCTTGCTCTCCTAGCTTCCATAACTTGAGGAGAGGCTGCTCTGGGTCTTGCAGGACTTGTAGCCTTTTGAGGAAGGAAGTGGCCTGGGTGGGAAGTGGCCAGCCCTGCTGGAAGGCAGCAAAGCAGAGTGGCAAGAACATGGCTTCTGGAGCCAGAAGACCAGCTCCTTTTCCTGTGGGCAAGTTTATTTGCTGACCACCAGTAAAGTAAGGGTAATGGCACCAACCTGATTGGGTTATTGGGAAAGTTGGAGTTAGATGAGGTGAAGGATATAAACCCTCCTGATGTATGCACAACACTCAACAATTATTAGGTGTAATTCCAAAAGGTCTTAATCTTACTCATGCCACAACTTTCCTAGGCACACTCTCACTGACTGACACATACTCACTGCTGCTTAAGATTTTGCATATGGTCTCTTGCATGTTCGCGTGAGGAACCCTAAATTTATCTTTTTAAAAAATGTATTATTTCTGCATAGTTTCCCATTACCTCAATGTTCCCTTTCCAGAGTTTAGATTAAGGGCTTGAAAGGCACTGGGTGTCAAGCACAGAGCTTCCATCGAATTCAGCTATGCTTGAAGCATGCCTCTTCCTGGTCGTAGCATGTGGTGGTGGTTGGGTTTGGCTCTCGTCTTGCTCTTCTGCTATAAGGATGCCTCACTGACTTCTCCTGGAGACCTTACTAGCACACAAGTGCCTAGAACTCTGTGCTCAAGTGGAATAGGATTTGTCACACTGTGAAGTAGCCCAACTCCTGTGTTCTTTGTTCTCTTTCGGCAGAACCAGCTTCTTGCAAAAGGACTATTGTTTGTGGAGGAGAAGATTAAGCTGTGTGAAGGCAAGTACCAGGCAGCCCTCATATGGCCCTCTGTGACTCAGCCTTTGATGTTTTGACAGCTGAAATGCTTCTGTCCAAAAAGTGGCAGGCTCCAAGTGAGTGATTCACCCTGTCCATTTCTTCTCCAGTTAGGCAGTAACACTATGGTTGGAGTCAGCCACTTGTGGCAGTGCATGTCAGAACCGTGTGTTCTGAGAAATTCAGTGTTTTGAGAAATGAACTGAAACTGGGGTGGTTTCTTTGGGGGCCTTGTTACGGGTGGCTTTGCATGGATGTGTGCTGGTAGTCTCCTCTGGGGGGATAAATTATACTGGAGATTCTGCCATGCTATTCCCTCTGGTCTGATCCATGCTGTTTCCTGTTGACCTCTATAATATTTCTAGAGGTCATACATGATGTGAGTCTACCCATTTGGGGGATATTAGACTAAGCTGGTACCCGCTTAATGGGTGGAGGTTTGATTTGATAGGCAGAGGAGAGTTCCCTGGCCTTTTTAGGGTCCAAATGACAGAAGAGGGAGAGGGAGGCCCTGGATGGAGATGGAATTAGAGGCTAGAACCGGCCGTCCCGTGGGTCCACCAAGGGCTGCTCTCAGCAGCCCCAGTGTGGATTCTGAACTCAGTCTTCCACTTGCTTCTTGGATGTCTTTTGGCAAGTTTCTGGTTTCTTTGAGCCATGGTTTTTTATCATGATAAAATGGGGTTAGGGGTTGTAGGGAGTACGAGATGCATAAGAGGCGTAGCACCATACCTGGCACGTACGTAGTAGATAGGCAAACTGGTCCCTTTGCTTTTTCTTCTCCAGTCTAGAAACCTCTATCTGTAGATCAAGTATACTTTTCAGACCCAGACTTATCAGGCAGTTAGCCATACATTTTTTTTTTGCAGTGGAGTATCTCCTAGAAAGACAAAGTGGAAGAAATTTACACCAGAAGGTTCTGGTACCTGGCACACAGGAAGTGCTCACCAAGCTTTTGGAAGGATAGAGGTTAGATATAAACCTCTGTATTTTGAGAGTTGACTGAACCTGTAGCCTTGTGTCCCTTGAATACAACTATGTTGAGACTTTTTCAACCTTATGAATACCAACTAACTAACCCAAGGCCTTATTTTTAAGTGACTGGCTTTGACAACAACTTTGTGGCCCTTTTGCACTTCATAGTCAGGTCAGTACACAAATGTGGAAGGTGGCTGCCTAGTAAAGGGAGAAATAAGAAGCATGGTCTCTGGCCATATTATCTGTCAGTCATATGGGGAGTTATTACATACTCCTGGAAATGGGAAACCAGCTTTATGAGAAAGACAATGAATAAAACCAGAGATTCAAGTGCCCGTGAAAGGGAAAGTTGAATGTCTTTCGCCAAAGTAACACTCAACATAGATACATTCAGAGTGAAAACTCAGGATTGAAGCTAGATGGAACAAAGGTCATGCAGGGTTCTGTGCCTCCGCCCCAAAGTGGCTTGAGGGTCCTGGGTCAGGGTATTCTCTCTGGGTACCCCCTGGCCCTGGGGTCTGGATGTCAGTGTCCTGTCTGTGCAGTGAGGGGAATGGGGGGAACCTTTAAGGGTCTCTCCCATCTTCAACCAGAGCATCTCCACTTTTTAAATTTTATGTATTACAATTACAAGAAAGCTTTTCTTTGGATAAAAGGATTCTCTTGCTAAAAAATAATATAGTTTGGTAACTGATAGGATCCATCCTATTGCTGAACAAACTTTACCGACCTATTTACTTATATATTTACGCCCCTCCTTCTGGCTGCAGGAAGGGCAGAGCAGCTCTTATCCATGTGTTGCTCCTTGTGGGCTGGATATGCCATGTTACTTTCAGTCACCTTTTCTAGAGCTCTAGTGACCCTGACTCCAGAGGTTTCTTTTATCTATTCTATATACCTCTGGTGATCTAAACTCCCATGGCATATAGAGTTTATGTAAGATGGTCATCTAGAACCTTCCATGCAAACCCCCTTATCTTTGCAGGGAGCTAAGTCCTTGACTTGTGGGCTGTTCCTGGAAGTGAAGTCACCTCTTTCCTTTAACTCTTTCTTGCCCTGGGCTACCCTGTCTTGTTAGCCTGCATCTGTCTGATGTTCTTCTCTGAACACTTTCCAAAACCTTATTACTCTCTGAAGTTTGCAGCCAGCAGTTAGACCCAGTTTCCCAGGAGGGGAGCCTTCCTGCCGCTGGGTTACCTCATGTGCTGATGAGCTTTCCATTTGGGTAAGTGAGGGGAACTAACTAGACACCAGCATCAACCTGCAGGATTTTCCATCCCTGCCTTCAGGTCGGGGTGGTCTCTGCTTGTCTTGGTAATGGAGGGCTTAGGATAAGGGCCTTTACTAAAGGGGCTGGGGTAGCCTTTCTCCTTTGAGGTCATCCAGGCATTGGGGTTCACCTTGGTTTTAGGTGTGGGGATGACCTCAGACTTTAGATGGTCCTGTTGACTTTGCTGACTCCTCCCAACAGTGAGCCAGCATAGCCTACATTTGGAACGAGGATGGTGGCTGACTGTCTACTCCACACAGGTACCTTGGAGTTGTTGTGGGTTTGGTTCCAGACAACTGCAGTAAAGCAAATTTTGCAATAAAGCTAGTTAAGTGAATTTTTTGGTTTTCCGGTACATATAAGCATATAAAAGTTATGTTTATACTGTAGTCAATTAAGTGTGCAATAGTATTATGTCTAAAAAAAATGTACATACCTTAATTTAAAAATACTTTCTGTGAAAAATTGCTAGCCATCATCTGAGCTTTCAGCAAATTATAATCACTGATCACAGGTCACCATAATAAATATAATGATAATGAAAAAGCTTGAAATAGTGCAAGAATTACCAAAATGTGACAGAGACACAAAGTTAGCAAAGCTGCTGGAAAAGTGGCACTGATAAACTTGATTGATGCAGGGTTGCCACAAACCTTCAGTTTGTGAAAAACGCAGTATCTGCAAAGTGTAATAAAGTGAAGCTCAATAAAATGAGTTATGCCTGTACCAGGTACTTTGCTAGGTGCTGGGGACATAGTGGTGAACAAAACAGTCACAAGATTACAGGCCCTTATGGACCTCACAGCCTGGGAGTGGAGACAGATGTTAACCAAATCATCATCAAATATAAAAGTACTATCAGGACAAGTACTAAGAATACAGTCCTTCACAGGAGGATTTGACCACTAGAGAGACTTCCCTGTAGTGTTGATGCTACAACTGAAACTAGAAAAATAAACCGATGTTGGTTAGGCAAAGAGAGGGAAAGAATGGTTTAGGCAAAGGGACTAGCACATACAAAGGCCCTGTGGCATGAAGGAGCATGGAAAGCATGAGGGGCGGAAAGAAGTTCCACATCGTCAGGGCCCAAAGGCTTATGGGAATACAGAAGAGGATGAAGATGCAGAAAAGGAAACAGGCCCCACCCAACCAAGTCGCTCGTGTCATGGAGGTCTTCTTTATATAAGAGCAAAGGAAAATGGTGGGCCTAACAATTTATTAACTCCTGCTCTGTCCTGTCCCATATTTGGGTTAAATGGTAACTTCTTTCCATTCACCAGCCTTAGTATCTGCAAAAACCTCCATCCTTGGTACTTGCTTTCCATGCATTTAAAGAGTCTAAAAATTGATTTATTGATGTGTCTGGCACCGTGCTAAGCACAAGAAATGTAATATACAGCAAGTCAGACAGGGCCCGTGCACTCCCATTCTGTTGGAGGAGACAGAGAAGTCAATAAGTGATTCCAACAAAGTGTAATTAGTGCTTCGAGCAGGAAAGTAGAGGATGCTAGGATGTGTATTTTCCCCCAGTGTATTTCACTCTGACCTCTCAAAATCTGCACGTCCTTTGCCCTGCTAGATACTGCCCATGCCCTTGTTCTGTTCTCTCTCCCAGTTGCTGCTTTTATTGTCCATTAAATTAATAGACAGATGATGCTAACTGAATCTTTCAAGATCTGTTCAGTGGAACTGACAGTGTTTGCCAAATGCATCTCTTGGTGTCTAATCTTGGCTGACCCAGTTCCTCTGCCTCAGATGAGCAAAGTCAGCACCCAATCAGCTCTGTTATCTAGGTCATTAAACAGCAGCCACTGTGCAGGCTCCTCTCTGCCAGTGGCCGCCTTTCCTGCATGTGCGAAACTCCTGGCACAACTTTCCTGTGGCTTTGGCTGAGCCATGTCCATCTAGCCTGGGGTGGTGCTTGGCCATGGCTCAGGCTTCCTGATCCTAGGGGTGAGAGTAGGCATTACGTCAGGAGGTGGGTCCTGTGTTTTGCAAGTGACCACTTCAGAGAATGTTGTCCTCCTTGTTACTGCAAAACCATGGGAGGAAGTGACAGTTTCCAGGCCACCCCTTTCCACCTCTCAACTGACAACTCAAATTCAGAATAAAAAGCCAGTGTCTTAGTGATTCAAAATACAAAATGATACTTAACTGTGCACATGAACTTCCTGGGTTATATTAGTTAAGAGTATTCCCCAGTTTCCAGGGTTCTGGAATCCTAGCTTTGCCTTCTAAGCTGTGTGATTTTGGGCCAGATACTTGGCCTCTCTGAGCCTGTAAAATGAGATAATAGAGTTTATTTATGAGATATAGATAAGCAGCACTGTGCCTGAAGATGTTGTAACCATCTTCCTGATGAGGGCAATTGTTACATGATTTTCAAAATTCAGCTTCCTTTACTGGATTGAGGGATAGAAGGCATATTTGCATATTTTCAGTTGAGTCTTCCCATCCAATCTTATGTTTACTGTAGTATCCCCCTTCAGATCAAATGTAGGTAATGAGTTTTCCGCCCCCTCCCTCCCACCCATGCTCCATTTGATCCAGAGTTGTCTGCTGGCTTCTCTTGCAAGTAATGACAAGTTCTTTTCTTTCTTTCTCCCCTCCCATGTTATGCCCTTGTGTAGGTGAAAATCGCATTGAGGTTCTGGCTGAAGTCTGGGACCACTTCTTCACTGAGACTCTCCCCACCCTGCAGGCAATATTTTATCCAGTCCAGGTCAGTGTCTCTGGGGAATGGCCTTCTGCTGGCCTTGGCATTCTGTCTTGTTCCTTAGCCTTTGCCACTGGGGCCTCCTGGGGAAGGCAGGAGGTCCAGGACATGGGGCGTCTGTAAGCAGCTGAGGGCCTCGGAGAACTCTGGAGGGCTCTCTGGGTCTATATTTAGCATCTAACCTCAAGCAAGGTGTCTGCATACCTAGCAGTTTGTAAGCTCTTGTCACCCTCTTGGTTTCAGTGTGTCTACATATTGTTGAAGTGGTTAGTTTCTTCTTTCTTTTTAGAAATAGGGAACATAGGGGAAAGGCACCTTTTTCTTTCTCCTTTTCTTTCTCTTTCTTTTCTCCACCTCTCTATCCTTTCTTTGAAGCATAGTTTTTAAGCAAGTAACCAGTGGCTCCCAAATTGTGGAAAGGGAATAACGTTGCTTGCCTTATGGACACATAAGGGATTCCTGAAGACAAGAAGCCGCGTGGTGTAGGAGAAACAAACTGGACTTGGAGTCAGTAGCTGGGTTTGGGCAAACTGATTTCTCCTTCTCTGTATTTCATCTCCTACAACATGAAGAATTTACAGTAAAAACGTGCAATATCTTTAGTATCCTTACTGTGATCTCAGCTCATTCTACCATTTGCATGGATTTCCTTCTACCTTTGTACAGAGGCTAATAGCAGGACTGGCCATTGCCAGGTCAGAGTGGACACCCCTGAAGGCAGGTGGACTGATGGATATTCCTCTCCACAGTCTGCTTCTGTTGTACATTCACACTGATGTGTGCTCCCGCGGCACCTCACCTCGGGGGCTAAGGCTTCATATCTAACCAGGCTTTGTTCAAGTGTGGGCAGTAACACAGTCATTAGCAATGGTGAGAATTACCTGACCAGAGGTAAGGGCCTAGGTGCTTTGTTTGCTCTGAATGGTATTTTAAAGAATTTGGAATTCTCAATATATGTCAAAGATTAAAAAATTCAAAAATTATGCCTACAGAATCCATTTCTCATTTAAGCCTGTCCCTAACAATTCCAGTTGAAATCTCTGGCCTGTGCCCACTGCTCTTTTCATTCCATCCTGAGCTCCATCCTCCACCTTATGAGAGGATTTGTAGCACTTATGTGGACAGTTCAACCTCTGTGCCCACAAAAATCTCCCCTTCCTGCAATAGTCATTCCTTGGCCCGCAGTAGATCCTAAGAAGATGGACCTGGGAAGTAGAGTTGCCAGATTTAGCAAATAAAAATATAAGATGCAGAACTAAATTTGAATTTCAGAGAAACAAAGAAGAATGCAATAGTTGGGACATACTAATGCTAAAAAACTATTAAGATCTAACTGGATATCCTGTTTCATTTGGTAACTCCTACTGGAGGGGTTTATAGGGGGTAGAGCTCGTAATCTCCTAGGACCATTTGGGCACAGAATTCTAAGATATGGATACCCAGATAGGTTGCAATAGAAAGTGTGGGGTCTGAGTGGGCATGGCCATCCTGCAGTCAGCTCAGAGCCAGGCAGGAGCCCTGTTGTATAGGTCTGAGGGAGGTACTATCCTGCTTTTCTTGAAAAATTAAAGATCTGGCAACAATTGATATTGCCCCTACCCACCCCAACCCCACAATTTCCCAAATGAGCTGCTGATACTGATCCTGACACCCCACTTTGAGAACCCCTGAGTTAAGTGTTTCCATTGCTGAGGTAACACCCATGAGGCATCTACTAGTCACCAGGGCCCAGCTCGAGCCTTCTCAGCACTCCCTGTGCATACACGTGTCTGCGTGAAACCAAATTCCTCATTGACCAAATGTGGTTTTGAGTGCCTGCTACATTCAAGGTGTGGAACTCTGCCTTTGTTTTCCTACCTTGCAAAGTAAAAGCGGTCCTGCACGTGCAGCGAGGGCACAGAGACCTATGAGGATAGGCCGTCAGGGCTGAGTTCCAGGATGTGGTCCAAAAAATAGAAACTGGAGGACCTGGAAAAGGTGGGATGGGGGACAACTGTCACTAGAGGCAGTCAGGGAAGGCCATGGGGAAGGGGTGGCTGTACTGAGCCTGCGAGGTGTGTGTGTGTGTGTGTGTGACAACTCTCACTAGAGGCAGTCAGGGAAGGCCATGGGGTAGGGGTGGCTGTACTGAGCCTGCGAGGTAAGTGTGTGTGTGTGTGTGTGTGTCTTGGGACTGGTGGGGGGATGCAGAGAAGGTGAAACCACTCTTACCTGTGTTTCTGTGAAACCCTAGGGAGTAATGAGAAATGTAAAAGGTCCTTACACCTTGCTAGATGTGAGAGATGGGGAGCCACATCCTATTTGGGAGGGTACCCTAATGATATTTTGGACTCTACCAAAAGCAGCTGATTTTTGCTGGGTGTGGAGAGTGAGTCTGGGAAATGGGCTCTCCTTTCCCTTTCTGTTTTGGGAAACTTCGGGAACTCTAAAGTCAAATAGATTAGGTTTGAAATCCAGCTCTGTTTTGGGTAAATCACAGTAACTCTAGGCGGGCTTTAGGGTTTTTCATCAGTGGAATGGGATTTATAGTGTGACTTATCTCAACGGGGGTGGGGGGACTAAATGTGTTTTTATATCTAAACTATTTAGAATCATGCCTAGCACACAGAGCTTAATAAGTGCCAGCTCTTAGGATTATTCATTATTATTTTCATCCTCTCCCCCTCCCCACATGGTTGAGCAAGTCCTTTTACTTCTTCCTTTCTAGATGTTTTTCTTCCTAAGTTAGTGTGTTTATATAAGAGTCTAACAGGTCCCCTGTTTTCCTTCTTTGCCTGGCATGTGATAGATGCTCAAATATATGATGGGAGAGGCTGAGGAAGCAGCCTGTGGAGAAGTGGTGCTGATTTTTTCTCTCGCTTCTCCCCACTTCCTCTCTCCTGTCCCGTCCTGACCACTCATGGCCCTCAGACAGCGTGGCCCCTGTTATGCGTCTTATCATCTTTGGGTCACTTGGGCAGGTAGGGTCATGCCTTACCTCAAGCAAAGCTTTCATTCTGAAGGACAGGGACCACACATTCAGCTCTTAGGCAGCCCCTGGGCCTTGCAGAAGCCTCTTCCTGTCCCGTCCCGGGTGCTGCATACACGTTGGTTGTCCTGGACCCAGTGTGGTTGGTGGTGGGTCCAGCGAGCTCTCACCTCCGGCCCTGCCTCCTCTCTCCTCCCCAGGGTCAGGAGCTGACCATCCGCCAGATCTCCCTGCTGGGTTTCCGCGACCTGGTCCTGCTGAAGGTGAAGCTGGGTGACTTGCTGCTGCTGGCCCAGTCCCAGCCACCATCCTCCATCGTCCAGATGTTGCTCATCCTGCAGGTAGGCCATAGTGGAGACGTAGCCACAAGGCTGAGGGAGGAAAGAGTGAAAAGACAGCCCCTGTGGGATGAGGGGAAGGGGCCAAACAACCAGAGCACCTTAGCTTAGTTAGCATTCTTTAGTTGTTCTTGTTCATTTGTTCATTTGCTGTATAGCGACTGGGCCCCTGTGACGTCCCTGGCGCTGTGCTCCAGGCTGGGACCCCTGGGGGTCCCAGAAGCGAAGTGTTATTAATCAGGAAGTGGACACCCTCTGTCCTCCCCTGTTACACAAGAAAGCACAAGTTGCAAGTAACAAAAGAAGCCACTGCTGCCCAGCACCAGCCAGAGCAGGGACTCTTTGGAAGGTACTGGGGCAGGTGGGCTTCCTAAGGGACCGTGGCCTAAGACCACGTCAGGCCCTACGGCTCCCGTTTCATCACTTGCTGGGCTCCAGTTCCATCTGGTTCACCTTGTTTCTCTGGCGCCGCCGCTCCTGGCCCTGCCTGGTCTCTCTTGCACTCTCTCTCTCCGACTCTCTTTCTTTCTGTGATCAGTGCTTTAGTTGCACCCGATCAGACGTGGCATCCCACAGCTCATGTTTCCACCAAGAGATGACCCAGATGGGGGGCCTAGTGTCTCAAAATCAACGATAGGGAGATGAGCTGATATTTATTGGTTCCTAGCTATATTCCAGGCATGGGCCAAGGACTTCCATGGTATTTTCTGAATCAGATAATCCAAAAGACCACCTTCTGAGGTGAGCACGACTGTCATTCTCCTTCTCAGAGGAGGAGACTGACACCCAGGAGGTTTGTGTGCCAGGCCAAGGCCCTCAGCAGGGATGCGCAGCTCTGTGTGCTCAGGAGAGAGAGACTGATTGGGCCGGCTTGGGCCACGTGACCCCCCCCTTGTCCAATCGTCTATGACTTTGAGTAGGATCATGTAATAGAAGCACGGCCTCAGCAAGCCCAGTCCTATGGATAGGGGTACACAGGGCCTGTGGGCTAGGAGCATCCCAAAGGTGGCTCCCTGCCTCCCCACCTCTGTGACAGATTCCCATGCTGCAGCATCAGCTCTGAGCCCTTTCTTAGGGGAGCTAGTTTTGTCCTCGCACAGGCTGGTGGTGACCCCATGCTACCCTCTCAGCGGGGGTGGACTATTTGGCTTGGGGATCTTGTCTTTCCTTCCCTCAAGCTGCTGTTCTCTTCTGGCTCTCTAAGGGGGCCGTCCTTCTGGGAATTCTCCCCTTTCCTGAAATTGGAGAGGAGGAAGGGTTGCCTAACAGGATGACGGTGGGTTTAATTGACTGGAATGCCAGGTCATGGACTTTTATAGGAGGGAAGGAAAAGAAGGGGGCATAGAACGGTGTGTGTGCAGCTTGTGTCTGAGAAGCATAAAATAGAGCTTGGATTCCGAATAAGGCATGCAGAAAATGAGGCCTTTGGGACTTAGGGAGGAAGATTAGGAAAGGAAAGTTGGGCTTCCCTGCTCCCATTTGTAATATTTTAGGGAAGAGGTGACTCCTTTGCTGTTGCTTGTTTGTTTTTTAGAAGGAGAAGTGGGGTGATGGCTCTCACTGTTGACATTAGACCAGGAGGGCCTGTCTCTTTGCTGGGAGAATTATCTACCAAATTCTAGCATTCTGGGCCCTGTGCCGGACAACCCACCAACCGTATGAGAAGCTGTCATCAACCCCTGAGGCTCCCTAGGGGTTAGCCTCACTTGCCCAGGACAATTCATCCGCTCTGGCCCCCACCTCAGTTTGCTCTCCCTGGGGCAGGTTCGAACCTTCAGTGGTTCCTGGGTGTTAGGAAAATAGCCCAAGTCTGTATCCTGGCCTCTGGCCCCCTCACCTCCCAGCCTCCCCTGGTACTTGAGGTCCCTGCTATTGGGCCCGCAGCCACACTGGCCTTCCTTGTGTCTCCTTGCTGCAGCAGAGCCTTGGTACTCGCTGCTCCCTCTGCTCAGCACACTGTCTCCCCCTGTTAAAAAACAATGAAGAATTTCAAGGAGTAGCTGACAAGGGGCCAAGGCAGCCTGATTCCTTGGGAGCTTACACTCCACCCAGTGACCCCCAACCTGTAGAATTAGCTGTTTCTGCTTCATTGCCCAACCATCTTTTCCTTTAATACCCCCCAAAACTCCAGTGCTGTGGAGAGTTTTACTTTTTAAGTGACGGTGATTTAAAGTCTATTCTGTTTTGAGATTATGATGAACTTTGTCTCTCTGCGCCCCTGTGCCTCTCTTCAACACGAGAATATGGCTTCCCATTATTTCTAGCAAGAAACTGAATTCCCTAGGAGTCTGATGGTTTTCCAAACCTCGGTTACTTCCGGGCCCTTTCAGGCTGTGCCTGTGGCCACTTGCTGGCGCTTCCTCATGGCTTAGCTCCTGGGACTCCTGTCACATTCGGCTTTTGAACTATTCATCATGGTGCTAAATGTGTGTCTTGCTCCACAGTGACTCCCTCTCTTCCATTCTTCTGGACTTTTCCATATTTTGTTCCCTTTCTTTTCTAGCCTGTTACCACATGGCAGTAAGATGGACTTGGAGCCAGACAGGCTGAATTCCACTCACAGCTTTGTTTCCCTGCAAATTACTTAAGTTTTCTGGGTCTTCATTTCTTCATCGGTAGATGAGAGTGCCTTCCTCCTTGGGTTGTGGGGAGGCGTCTGCTCTAGTGCATGTAGAGTGTGAAGCAGTCCTCATGATGGTGGGGCTGGGGCTCGTCAGACCTCAGCCCTGGAGCTGGGGTGGGGACAGTCCCCTCCGCCCTGCAGTGGTGGGGCACAGTAGGAGAGGGGCTGTGGTCCTCACCACACAGAGTTTTCTGATCACTGTGACCCTTGACCAGTGACTCGGGCTTCAGGCCTCAGTTTCCTTCATTCCAGCCATGAGGATGCTGCCTGCTGGTAGCACAGCTGCGAATGAGGGCCAACAGGATTTGGCCCTCATTCGCAGCTGTGCTAATTGTTGACTGAATGCCAGCTGGCTATGGCAACTTTGACTGACCTTTGTCTCTCTTGTTCATTTCCAGAGTGTTCACGAGCCCACAGGCCCAACTGAGGGTTATTTGCAGCTGGAGGAACTGGTGAAGCAAGTGGTTTCTCCTTTCCTTGGCATCAGCGAGGACCGAGGCATCTTGGGCCCCACGTATGCACTGGGTAAGGGGACAGCTCTCCAGGAGCCTCGATGATCATGTGACTGTGTTTTACTGAGCCCTAGTTATGTGCCAAGTCCTTTGCTTCCGACGTGAGTCCGTGCAAATCTGTGCGTGTTAGTCACTCGTGTGTCCCGCTGGTCTTTGTCGTGGTAACTTCCCTGCTTGGCGATTCCTCCTAGGGGATTGATACTGTTCCTCTGATCCGCGTCTTTGATCAGTGGCTTTGATCTTTCTCATATGCCTGCTATTTTCCTGTGTCTGAGACCAGAAACTGTACCTTATTGCACATACACTCCTCACACTGAGTGGAAAAACCACCTGTGATGGATTTTCCTTTGACAGCAGTTGGAAATGTGAAGCCAACTCGTGTGTGTGGCCAGCCGTGATGAGCGCTGCTCCTCACTCCATTTCTGTCGGGACTGCTAGGGCCTTCACACCAAGAAAAGGGGCTCCTGGATTAGGCTCAAGTCCTGTTGGGCCCTTTGTAGGGGGGCTGTAAAGCCAGCAGGAGAATCTAGGGATAAATCAGATCTGCTCTTTCACTCAGTGAGACTCCAATCTAGCTGGGGAAAATGGCTGTATAACAAGGCTTGTAAAAGAGATTCCTCTGAATGAAAGCCCCCAAATGCAGGAACTCTTTGTTTATTGTCTCTCTCCAGCAACTGGAATGGTGCTGCAGCATCTAGTAGGCATTCAGAAAAATATCTGTTAGATGGATGGCAGCCAACTGTACCCCAGGGCAGGGGTGACCAGCACCCACAGAGAGGTACAGAGAAGGACAGGCATTATGTGATTTTTGGAACTTCTTGTCCCCTCTCCTTGCTTTAGTGGAGTTGTAGCTGGACTTCAAAGAAAAGGGGGAAATAGCCTCCAGCAAGTTTCCCATACCTGCCCTGGCCTCACTACTGCAGAAAAAGGCAGGGCCGGCTAGTGGTTTTCATAGGCTGTTGGTGTTTCTCTGGCAACACCAGTTTAACCACAGCCACCACAAATCAGAGGGTACTGGCCCCAGCCTGCCTGTTAGGCCCTTCCCGCTCCATCCCCTCTTCCCTTGCTCACTCACTCATTCCACCCAGGAGTGGGAAAAAGCCAGAGTAGAGATGACAGCCAAAGGGAAACAGTCTCCTGCCCTTCCCGAGCTGTGAGCTGGGCGCCACGCTTTCCTGCCTCAGCTCACTGGGTGGGGTGGGAGGGTCCAGGCGGAGGTCAGGGTACCAGAAGGTAAGCTGGATCCTAGCAGGGCCCCCGCCACCATCAGCTGGGCCTAGTGCCAAGGGACAGGCATAGCTTTGGAAGTTTGTTCAGTGAGGACCTACTCTTAAGAAGGGACACTTTTGGCTTTCCAGCTAAAATAATACATATACTTGTGAAATTACAAAGCAAAGAAAAGCCTGAGGTTTTATTCTTGTACCAAGGATGGTCCTTGCCTCTGGGGTGTTGTCTCAGTAGCAAATAGATAGGGAAGAAAATAACCCTCTTTTAATTGCTTTATTATTATTATTACTATTTCAGCAAATGTGTACTGAGACCCTGTCCCAGGCACCCTGTGAGGGGCTGCGGTATAACCCGTGAGCAAAATCAACCCACCCCTGCCCTCTGGCATGCATCGGGAAGTCACCCATTACTCATCAGTGTACGAATGCTCAGAGTGGCACCCATGGCAGGGGGACTTGACCAGGGTTGGGAAATCAGGGAAGGCTCCCTGGAGGAAGAGATATCCGTAATGGGGCCTGTAGGATGAATATGAGTTAGCTGAGTACACAGGAAAGGCAGACTATTCCAAGCAAAAGGAAGGAATCTTTGAGAGGCTTTTGGGGTGGGAGGAGCGGTGAACAGGAGGGCAGAATATTTGAGGAACTGGAAGAGCTTCAGAGTTGCAAAGTGGCTGGTGGCAAGGGCAGCTACTGGACACAGACCATCTCCTGGGCACTGTGCTGGTGGGCTGGATACCATGCCATGGAGTAGGCACTGCTGTTTCCATTTTACAGGAAGCAAATGAGGATTAAGGCCACTTGGCTATTGGAGTCAGATTCCAAAGCTCCAAGCTGTTGACCCTTTACCAGCTGTCCCACATGCTCCACCCCGACTCCACCTCACCTGTCAGCTTCCAGGAGGCAGTGTGATTTTACTGAGGGGAAGCTGAGGAGGGGGTCCTTCCCACTCATTCCTTAACCCAAGAGGTATCTGGTGCCAGACATTCACCTCAAACCTGGATACTAAGAAGCTAAAATGGTGCCCTTCCCTATTGAAGGCACCCCTTTCCAGATGGAGAGAGGACTCTCTGGACCTCAGTCTTGCCCTCAGTAAAATGGAGACAGTAATGTTTATCCTGCCTCTAAGGGTGGGGCATTGAGACCACCAACTGAAGTGTAAAGGTTTAAGGAGATGTGTTGGACGGGACACATCCCTGTACCCAGAGGAGGGCTTTGCTGTGATCCACTCCAGGTCTGTCTGGGGTGGGAGGGTGGCCAAGAGCACCTGGGATACTCGTCCTGAAAGCCACCATGGACCCAGTGATCATCGTGGTCCAGGTACCAACCAGGCACCTGGCCTATATTCATGCTGCCCTTGTACAGCCTGCTGAGGGCAAGTGTGCTGTGCTTAACCTCAGTCTCAGTTGGGAAAAAATGTCCCCAGCATCACATTGGGGGCAGAGGACCAGATCCAGAGAAGTGTTTTCTTCTGGGGTGCTCCTCTGTGCCCCCATGCCCATGCATGTTTAAGCCTGTGGGGCTTCTTGGCATGTCTCTTCCTGCCAGCCAGGCCGATGGGTCTGAGGAGTAAGCTCACCCCCTGGATAGGCAGGGCCTGCCTCAGAGAGGAAAGATGAGTCTGAGGTTCATGTTGCAGTGAGTGTGAGTGTATGTGTCTGTGCATGTGCACATGCATGCTTGTGTGTGTCTCCATCATTTTTCTAAGGCCGGGGAGTATAGGGGTAAGGAAGAAGAGTGAAACCTTAAAATAAAGAATAGACAGATGTGTCAGGGGCCAGGCTCACGTCCTGCCTTCCTAGCTGCCAGTGTCCATGCTGCTGCCCTGGCTGCCCCCCGGGCCCTCTGAGTGAGCACTTAGCCTGCTTGGTTTCTCCCACACAAAAGCCCTGGCCTCCCGTGGGTTTCCCTCTATTGTGTTTCCAGGGGGAGGGCCCGTTTCCTTAAGATACTGTTAGCTTCTCCTCCTGGCAAGGGAGCATTCCTGGGTTTTCAGGTGCCCAGGCCTGGAGAGGGACACCCACAATGGGCCTGGTGTGCAGCAGTCACGATGCCTGCATTGTGGCGGCAACTATGGCAGGGCGGCCTGGCAAGCCTGGGAGATCAAAGGCTTCAGAACTGAATCTCCAACAAAGGACCTGAGGGCTGCCTCATCCAGGCTTTGCTTCTCTCTGGGGGTTTGAAAGGAGCTGCCTTGTTGCTGGCTTCAGTGCAGGGGGACGAATGCCAGAGCTCAATGGGGTGCCTGGTGAGTGAGTAAGGAATCAAGGCACCCCCCCTTGCCCCACCCCCTCTGAAAGGCAGGAGGAGGCCGGGAGGTAGGTGCTGGGGCTAAGAGGTGGGATCCAGCCCCTCTCCCTGCTGAAAGGGCATGACTGCAAGGTAAGGACCACTTTTAGGCCCCAGGGGGATCAGTCTCTGAATGGGAGGTTTCCGTCTCTGAACGGCAGGGCCCTGTTTTCTCTGGTGCAGATATGAAAAAGAGGGGGAAGATACCAAGCAGCAACAGTGTGGATAGCGGTGGGTGTCTGTCAGCTCTAGGCCCAGCATTTGGTTTTAAGGCCTCCAAAGGAGGCCCAGTGGGGGCTGATCCCACTAAAACACAGCTGACACACTTGTCTGGGGGTTGGTTCTGGTGTCTGGTGGGAGCTTATTGAGGAAATACTGTCTACCCAGGGGACTCTATACAGCCCAGTGGCTCCTGTGGTCTTGTTCTGCCCACACCCAGTCTTGGGAACCAAAACATTTAGCGCAGAGTGCAGAAGGAAGAACTGTAGGCCTCTCCTGTGGGTCATCACTGGGAACAGCCATAAGGATTGCGGCAGGGCTAGCCACAGAAAGAGCAAAGCCTTGGAAACTACAAGGGCTGGGCTTCAGCTGTGTGGCCTGGAGGAATTGCTTAATGTCTCTGAGCTGCAGAGGGCTGAGCACAGAGGAAGAAATTCCCCTGTTCAGGGCAGGGCCCAGGCAGTGCTGCCACCTGCTGTGTTAGGGGACCCTGACAGAGGCAGCCTGGCTGCTGTGGAATCACTGCAGATGAGGAGTTGTATGTGCCTCCCCCTTCCTCCCTGGGGCCCTAAGCCACATCGGGGCCCTTGCCATTTTGTGTAGTCATGGGCTGATTCTGTGTCAGTCTCCCCCTTATACTGTGAGCTCACTGAGGGCAGGGGCATGTGGTTCGCCTAATTTCAGGCCCTAGCATAGACCTCTCCTCTGAGTAGATGAATGAAATAGTGAGTCTGAGTTGAGTCTATTGGACACTGAAAGGAGCAGGCCCCTCTGAAATGACCCCTCTTTGTGACTTTTCCTCCTCTGAATTTCAGAGTGCTCTTCTCTGACATTTGCCATGTTGACCTTGTTTTAAGTTACTGTATGCAGGCCTCCCAGTGGTCAGGAGCAGGGACTCTGCTGTCAGCCCTGGGCTTGAATCCTGGTTTTATCACTAACTGTGACTGGAAAGTTATTTAGCATCTCAACTTCAGATTCCTTTTCTGCAAAATAGTCAAAAGGAGATCATGTTGGTGAAGCACCTCCTTACATAGTTGATGCTCAGTTAGTGATTGGTCCCAAGACCCTTCCCCCACCACACACTTGCTGAGCTCAAGCCCCTGTGGCAGGCCCCATATCAGATTTTCTTTGCTGCCTCTCATCAGCAAGCAGTGTTTTGCATGTCTGAGCTCCAGAAGGGTTTGTTGCAGGGGGCAGGTGTCAGGGCAACCCCCTCCTGGCTGGTCAACATCACTCTGGCTCCAGCTCTCGGCAGCCGCCCAAGTGGCCTTGCTTGTCAGTTTACTGCCTGTTGAGCCTTCCAAGGACTCTGGGCTGTGGGACTAACCATATAAGAGATGGATTGTATCCAGGCATCCATCTGAGACACCTTTCTGGGCTCATCCAGCTCGTCTGGGGCCCATGGAAGTCATCCAATGAACTCTCACTTCCTCCAGAGATCCTGCACGTGTCTGCCATGCACATCTATTCCCCATGCCTTCAACTGGGCCCAGCCTTTGTTCTAGGTCTTTCCACTAGCTGGATCTGCAGGTTGCAAATGCTCACCCAACAGTTGAGGCCAGTCTCCCACCTGGCTGGTTGTAGAGTTCAGGCTACAACATGGGTTTTGCAACTGCCAATCTAAAGTGCTTTGTTTTTAACAGCAGTAGGAGAGAAATGAATTGTTTTCAAGGCATTTTTAAAGGATGGTTCTTTAATGGAGTTCCAGCTTCTTTGAACTCTTCTGGTGCTGCAGTTTTATAGCTATCAATTTTTGTAATCATAGAAATAATACATCATTATTGTAAAAATGTGGGAACATTATAGAAATGTGTGGCTTGGAGGGTACCTCTGCCAGTACCTGGCATAGATTGGTTCCTCCTTGCTGTTCTGTCTCCTATTCATTCTTTGCCAGAGAGGGGCTTCCAGCCAATACCAGCCTCTTCTCTGGCACCTGCTAGGGGCCAGTGTTTGCTATTACCTGGCTTCAGAGAGTGGGCCAGTTCCAGAAGCACATCTTTTGAGGGCAGCAGCAGAGCCCTAAGATGGCAGTAGCAGGTAGTAGGGAAAGTATGGGCCCTGCCACTCAGGCAGGGAGTACTGGACTAAGCCTCAGTCTTCCTCATCTGAACAATGGGGATAATGAGAGCAGTTCTAGCTTCAGAGGGAGTTTGGGACTCATCAGTGAAATAGTGGATGGGAACACACTCAGTAAAACTCTAAATTCTACATATAATTTGGTTTTGAGAAATAATAATTATCTAAGCCAGGAGACTTGGTGACTTAGTCCTAAGGGTTAAGGTTTCATTGTCTCGTCACTTCGTATCCATATACATGTATACATGGCCACAGAAAACCATCCAGTGGTTCTGAGAGCTTTGCAGAGGGACATGTCAGGCGCCATGCATCTAGGAGCATGAGCTTTGGAAGTGGCAGCGTGTGTCAGGGCCCTCCAGATCCACGTGAAGAGCCGAGAGTGGACTAAAGCAGTATGGGCCGAGTGTCCCCAAGGCCACTGTCTGAGCAGCAATGTTTGTTTTCCCTTTAGAAGCTGACTTCCCCATGATCCTGTCAGAGTGGAGAGGGAGTGCCTCCACTGTCAGGCCTTTCTCCATCGCTCCCCACTGCATCTCCCTACTGAAAGGGAGTATCTTTCTTTTGGGGTCTTAATGGCCTCAGGGTCCTGGGAGCTCTGGAAAGAAGTGACAGGTGAAATGGAGTGGGTGGGTGGAAGGCTGGGAGGGGTGTGCACTGGCAGAGAGGGTGTGGTTGAAAGAACAGGGCTTGAACAGAAGCCACACACTCCTCAAGACCTCTGGCTTGCTGTGGTCTTTCATCCAGCTCGCGATGCAGACGCGGTGCCTAAGTGGGAGAAGAGGTGGGCCACATGCCTCTAGAGGACCCCAGGAAGGAGACGGACCTTGACACCAAGGAGATGCAGGCCTGTTGTGGTCCTTGTTGTGGCTACAGATGCAGCTCTCTGCACTGGCATAGTCCTCATGATGGCTGGGACAGAAGGGGCCCTGGGAATTGGGGTGTGGCTGGTACATACGCTTCCTCCTTTGGAATGTTCCCCCTGGATTTCAGTTACTTGACTATTTTGGTTCTTCTCCCACCTCTTCAAGCCATCTTAGGGTTTCCTTCCTTCTCAAGAGGCACTGGGGCTCTGTGATGAAATGCTTGGCTTCTGGGCTGACACCTGTACCCCAGTCCCAGCTCTGCCTCCTCTCTGTGACAATGGGCAGGTCATTTAACCTCTTGGTGCTTTAGCTCTCCTGTCTGTAGATGGCAGTAATGGTAGTAGTACCTACACCATTGGGTTGAGAGGATTTAATGGGTTCATATATGCAGGATGCTCAGAACAGTGCCTGAAACTCTTTAGTTTCAGTTAACTTTTGTGTTAGCTGTGAGAATCATCATCGGTCTGGTAGCCCTTCTCACATCCACTCCCTCCATGCAGGCACACAGGAGAATGACTTAATCTTTGACCTCTTTATCTGCCAGGAGGTCATGTTCACTCTGAGGCTTCCAGCCATTACAAGGTCCAGGTGACTCTGCAATTCTCGTATCTCAACATGTTTTTTTTCTCATTATGAACAAAATACATGCACATGAGAAAAACTTGGAAAACACATATGTAAAAAGAGGATAGAGAAGAAACTTTAAAAATCATTGGTAATCCCTCTTCCCAGAGATAACGACTATTAATATTTTGATGTATAGATCCCCAGGGTTTTATACATATGTATGTGAACACAACACAGTGTACCCCTAGTTTTGTTTAAAACTGAAAAAATGCATGTAATAATACTGGTTATATTCTGCTTTTGTCACCAGATATTATTATACTGTGGATATTTTCTTACATTCTTCAATATTCTTTGAAAATACCCAAATTTCTATCTGTAGCCATAACTTCTTTCTCTGACTTCAAAACTGCACATCTGTTGGGCAGTGGAGGGTGGCATCTCAGACTCGATTGGCTGCTGCCTCTGCTTCCTCCCCATCCCAGCCCTTCTCTGTCATCTTGACTCACAGCGTGGTGCCTGTGCCATCCTGCTTCCTCCTGTCCCCCTCCCTCCCCGAGCCTCGTATTGTCAGATCCTGTTACCATCAGTCTCTGCTGTCTCCAGCCCATCCTCTTCCTCACTTCCCTCTCATCACCACAACTCTGGTTCCTGTCCTGCTCACCTCTCACCTTGATTCTGATGTTAGCACTTATTTCTTTTCACCTGCAATCTATACTTTTTATAGAAAATTATGATGGGCCATCTCTCCGGCTTTCCTCACATCTGGCCTCTCAGGTTCCAACATCGCATGCTCCTGCCAGGTGCATCTTCCTGAAGTACAGCCCCCATCGTGTCCTATAGCAGGCACTGTTACCTGTCCCCCACCCTATTGTCTGATTGGTCACAGATAGTTCCATCTTGCTTTTAAGGGCCCTTCCACGACATAGTTCATCCTGCCTGCTTAGGCACCTCTCCATTGTTTATGTACTGTGTTCCTGCCAGGCTGTGGCCTGATGCTGCGCCTATTGCAGCAGCTTACTTGGGCTGCTCCCACTGCTCGGAATGCTGGCACCTGTGAGCCCTTCTGGGAGTTTTTACTACTCTGAAGGCCCACCTCCAGTATACATCCTCCCTGACAGGTTTCCTGACTGTCCTCACTCAGGTGTGCTGTTTCCTACCTTGGAACCCCATGCCCTTGGCTTGTCCTTTCCTTGAGATACTTAGCTTATTAGAGTTATGTGTGCTTTGCATGGGCAGCTATCAAGAGTGAGATATGGAGTGAGACCTTTCTTGAATCCTAGATCTGTGTTCTAGCTTTGTGAGTATGGGTAAGTTATTACCTCTCTGATACTCAGTTTTCTCATCTGTAAAGTGGGAGCTAATATATCATGACTTAGGTTCAGTGTTTAGGAGGACTGAAAGATGAATGCATGTCAAGGCTTAGCACAGTTTCTGGAACAAGTGAGCTCAAACTGCAGAGTTATAATAATCTGTGCCCAGCCCTCTTTGTGTCTGCTTCCATTTACCCATTTGTTGATGGTGAGAAAGCCTGTTTACATCTAGAGTATTGACTGAACAGAGCATGGTGTCAGACAACTGGCCTGGAAAGGAATGTTGGTAGTCCTGGTTCAGACGATTTGGCAAATGTCCCCCGGTCTTAGCTTTGGTAGCTGAGGTCCCCCCAGTTACATGTTCCTCTGGACTTAAGCTCATGAAGCGTTCTTCACTTCATCTGTAGACACTGCCAGAGGCCCATTTACTGCTGAATTGAGCCAGAGGGCTTCTTTTGGAAGCTGGTGCAGGCAGTGCCCAGGTCTTTGGAGGACACTGGTAGAAAGGGAATTTAGGGCAAATCTTTTGAAGCTCAGGCAGCAGCAGGACAGAGGGGAGATTCCCTTGAAACCAGTCTATCATTGACAGTCCTTTGGTGATCCCTACTATGAGAGGAATGTTGGGCAGGGGCAGTATCTGGCATAAGCTATAAAGCTGCAAGAGAAACATGTAAACATGTCCAATTCCCTTCCATGCACTTCAGCAGGACTGCACCTAAAGCTGTTCTTCAAGGCAGAGCACCTCCCTCTTCCCCCAAATTGATTAGGAGTCTTTGACTACCACCGCCCCCCACCCCAGCGTGCGCGCATGTGTACACACACACACACACACACACACTCTCTCTCTCTCTCTCTCTCTCCCTCCCTCCCTAATTACAGTCTTTGCTGGTTTTTCTCTTGCAGCCAGGCGCCACTCCAGGGTTCGTCCCAAGGTCACTCTCCTGAACTATCCATCCCCGATGACCACCATCAGCCGGCCACTGAATGAGATGGCTTTGACTCCTCTGACGGAGCAAGAGGGGGAGGCCTACCTAGAGAAGTGTGGCAGCGTCCGGCGGCACACGGTGGCCAATGCCCACTCAGACATCCAGCTGCTGGCCATGGCCACCATGATGCACTCAGGCTTGGGCGAGGAGCCTGCGGGTGAGGACAAGTGCTTGCTCCTGCCGCCCAGCTTCTCCCCACCCCACCGGCAGTGCTCCAGTGAGCCCAACATCACCGACAGCCCTGATGAGCTGGAGGAGGTGGCTGGGGGCAGCCAGGAGGACTCGGAGCTGAACTGTGCTTCCCTTCGCTGAATGCCCCCCTCTGGGACGTCCCAGCTCCTGCCTATGGACCAGGATGAGGATGGCTCCATCCCCACAGATCGCCAAGGGGCTCTTCCTTTGGGCAATGCTGCCTTATGGCTTTTTGAGTGTAGGCCTAGTCTAAGTGCCCTAGGGGAAATCCCTATTGTAAACCTATTTTCTTGACTGTGACTGAGCACCTCTTTGCAGCCAAACAGACCCAACTGCCTGATATTCACATTCTGACTCCCAGCCTTGCCTGTCTTAGATCCTTATCTCTGGGCTTTTCCCCTTAGATACTGGACTGTTTGATGCTCCCAGCAATGTATCTAAGTTCCCCTGGCATTATTATAGCAGGAGGTTGTCTGACCCACACACGGAGCCAGCAAGGACACGCTGGCTTTTGGAATTCCCCTTTAGGCTCCTGTGGTACGGCAGCCTGTGGGTGAGCAGTGGTAGCAGAGAGGAACCTCTCCTCCCCTATTCTGTACCGAGTGAAAGTAGACTGCAGCCCCTACCGAACATGACTTTGGGAATGTGCCTTCCTTATTTTCATTTCAGAATTACTGGGAAGGAGTTGCCTGTGGGTGAATGCCCATCCTCACCTATATCCAGATCCTATATGCTGCCTTTGGTTTTTGCCCCAGGAGAGCCACAAGGCTTGAGAAACCCTGTCTTTGATTAAGCCTCACCATTTCCCTCTCGGGCCTTCTCCCAGGCTCAAGGAACTAGCTTCCCTAGTGGAGTAGCTGGTGCCTTCATCCGCTCCTATTTCAGAAACTGACTGTTTTCCTTTGTGGGTGAGGGGCCAGCTGATACCAACCAACTAGTCTGTTCCTGGATTTAACTTGAATTTTTTATATGTGCATCATTTAAAAAAATTGCAAATCCTTGTACGTAGGATCTTGTACTGCTCATTTCCAATGGGGTGTATCTTCAAACTACAAAATAAGCAAACCCTCTCAGAAAAAGCCTGGAAGTGGTTCAGGGTACAAGTGACCCATGGTAGACAGGACTCTTAGGCTGCAGAACTCTGGAAGCAGTTGGGCTTGAATCCAGAATGGCCCATGTGAGTGTCCAGGTTTACAGAAAAGCTGCATTGAGGTAGAGAGACTCAGTTTGCCTCATGAGCAGAGGGTTGTAGCCAATGGAATGTCTTTCCTTTTAGTGGGGTTAGATAGGGGAGATGTGGGCAGGACCTTCTGGAGAGATGTTCATCTCCTGTATATAAACAAGTTCCCAGAAGTGGCTGGAATTTCTGACATGTGAAATCACAAAATGCTCTTTGGGGCAACAGCTTTGGTACTGTGCTGTCTCCTTAGCACTGCTCCACCCAGGTCTGGGCTCTTGATCCACCTTGGGCCTCTGTTCTTCTCTTTGTATTTGTCTGTTGGCCCTACTGATAAAAGCCCCAGAAAAAGGAGAAGGCTCCCCTGGGCCCTTCTGACACCTTCTAGGTATCCTGTTAATATTTGGAAACTTTATGATATCTCAGAGATATGAGCCGGCTTGGCTTCCAATATAGCAGGAGGTTCCTGGGAGAGGATAAGAACAGTTTAATCTGGCAGCAGGGAAAGAGACATTGTAAGCATATCTAACTAAGCCTTGATGGCATTTCCCTTCTGGGTGAAAATCTGAAATGCAACCAGTTTTGTTTTTGGTGGCTTGTAATTTGGAAATTTTGTTTAAAAAATTGTTTCATTTTCATCTTTCTAAGAGAGTGATGAAAGAGAAATGTCTGAAGGAGATCTGAGGATTTCAAACAAAAAATAATCTCTGTGTATGTGTTGAATAAAGTCCACAAATTAAATGCATTAGCAAACTATCAGTAAGTAATAACATGATGATTTATTTAACCAATGGCTTCTGTCCTTACTGGTACACTTAGCACCTGGGATTAGAATTTATTGATCCAGATAAAGTAATCATTTACTTTTTTAGTTTACAAACGTTAATGATCTATTTGGTTTTAAATGCCTTTTCCATACACTAAATGCCTCTGATGAGAACAGCAGTCATCAGTTAAATATGTAATATCTTAGACTGAGAATGGGCATGTCAGGACAGACCCAGTGTCCTTAATTGCTGATGATTGCTAGCCACTTTACACCTTCACCTTTGACATACATGCCTGATACTTATACAGTAAATATTTCCAACTATACATATAGCAATTTTGTTGATGTTTTGGGGCATTTTAGCCATCAGAGGTATTGCAAGCATTATATTCTTAGCCACTTTTTCTCCCCTTTATGAGATGAAGATTCATTTCGTTACTTAAACTAGGATCTTCCTGTGGCTGAAGTTTAACGACAGGGAGCAATCTCAACTCTAAACTCTGAGAGAGCTCACAAACCAAAAACCTTTCATATTGTCTGTTTCCAAAATGATTCAATAAACGTCACTGTGTCCATATTATCTGTCCCCGTGTCGCATGTCTTGATTGAATCTGATAGGCCAGCAACCCTCTGGATATGTGTGCATCTTGTCCTCACCCTCCCTGGGCCCGCTCTGCCTGCCTCTACTCCAGGGTTAGGCAGCAGCCTTACCTCAGCTGGTCTCTCCTGGGTTTTGTTTGCCATCCTCTGCTCGATTGGCAAGTCATTTCCTGGTGAAATAGCCTGTATACGGAGCTGGAAAACACTGAACAAGTCTGAGAAGGCAAGACCTCTTCTAAACCAGTTTGGCCTCTTCCCAGAGTGTCTGACCTAGAGGGAACACTTCAAATATTTACTCATGGACTGTGTTCTTCATACACTGTCCTCCGATTCTGCTTGCCAGAGGGAATTTATGTTTAACTCTATGCATGGGTTTCCCTAGGAAGGCTGGAGCAGAGTTAGCCTGAGACATCTGAAGGCCTAGTAAGATCATTCAAAGAGGTGTGACCTACCTGAGGATGGAAAGGGCATAATGCATGTTTTTGTTGAGCCCTCAGAGCCAGTAACTAAGGAAAATAGGCACTCAGCGTTCTGCCTCAGTAGACCTCATGGCATTGGCTCACTGCCATGTTCATTCATCCACCCCCTCACCTACCCACCCAATATTTATGGAGCTGCCACTGTGTTGTAGGCATGTTCCTTGGGGCTGACAATGCAGTGATGGACAGGCAACCAAGGGGCCTGCTTTCTTATACACAATTTAGTTCAGGAAGGCTGGCAATCAGCTCAACACAGGCATTTCAAATAATGAACAACACTGGATGAAATGAAACAGCAAAATCCAGTAGCTAGAGAGTGATATGAGGGCAACTGTATCAGGTGACAAGAAAAGTTCTCTAAAAGTTGACTTGACTGAAGACCTGAATGAGAGGGAGCTAGCCTTACCATCTGCTTTATTTCCTATCACTGCCATCAACAGTTACCACAAATTAGTGGCCTAAACAACACACATTTATCATCTCACAGTCAGTTGGCTGGAAGTGTGACATGGGTCTCACTGGACAAAGATCAAGGTGTTCGCAGAGCCTTGTTCCTTTTGAAGGCTCTGAGGGAGAAGCCATTTCCTTGCCCTTGTCAGCTTTTAGAGACAGCCCAGATTCCTGGGCTCGTGGCCCCTTACTCCACCTTCAAAGCCAGCAGCAGAGGGTTGAATTCCTCTGCCATTACATCACATCATTATCACCACCTACATTCTGTCTCCCTTGTCTACTTTAAGGACCCTATGATTCCATCAGGCCCACCCAGAGAATCCTTGATAATATCCATCTCAAGATTTTTGTGGGCACTGCCCCTCCATCCCCACGTCTCAGTAGTAGAAAGGCTGGCTGGCTGGTGTGCTGGGGGCCCTGGGAAGACGACACTGCCTTGGGTGGCAGGTGCTGGTCTTCGTGTCCAGGGGAGATTGGCTGGCCTGGCCCAGAGGCCTTCAAGCCTGACCTCCACCCTCCATGGCCTGGACACCCATGGTGACCAAGATTCTGGAGTCCCTCACTCAGATCTTTATTTTCCATCTCATATGCTTGTCAGGTGCTCGTCATCCCCTCTGTGGACTTCTACAAGTGTGCACTTCCTGTATTTATTTGTCTGCAGACTCCATCTCTCCCTATGGACATCCCCAGCTGATGTCTGAAAAATGTAGTCCCTGCTTAAAACTTCTCTCTGGCTGCGAGTAAATTCCACACATTTGAACTTGACTTCCAGATCCTTTCCAAACTGGCTCCCACCTGCCTTTCTGGCCTCAGGTGCTGCTGACTCCCTGTGAACAAGTGTCAGTCTCACAGCGACAGTTCATTGTCTGGGAAGCTGCCCTCCACCTACACACCGTCCCACCTTGTTGGGAGCCCTCCCCATTGCTGGGGGCTGTGGAGGGGCCCTCCCACTGCTTCTCCAGGTCGAAGAAAACACTTTTGCCTCTGTACATTCTCAGGCCTGTCCCAGAAGACCAAGGAGGTGTAGGATTTCTGTATGTGTGCCTGGAGACTAGCAATACAGAGGAAGTTCTAAGTCATGTGCACTGAATTAATGGGATGGTGATAATTCTGATCTACACCTTTTCTCTCCCAGGTGTTTGCAGAAAGGACCTTCACCTCCTTTCCTTTCTCCCTAAGCAGGGGCCTTCCCCACACTGTTCTCTAAGTATGTTCCTACTGAGGGTATGGCTATGGAGCCTGTGAACCCAGGTGGGAGCCCTTCCCTGTGGCCCCTCCACATCCTGCTGCCATGTCCCTGCAAAGAGCTGACCCTGTCCATAGGGCTGCTGCTTTGCCCCGAGCCAGCTGCCTCTTTCTTGGGCCCTTTCTTTCTGTACTGAGAAAATTCCTTTGGAGCCTAGAAGTTGTGCCTGAGGGAGAGAGTGAGACAGCCCTGTTGTTTGTACAGGATCATCTCTTTGGAAAAGCCCTCCTGCCAAGTAGTAAGACTAGTGTGCCCAGGCAAGAACCCCCTTGCCCTAACTCCTACTGTACTCAGGACCAGCCCTGAAAGGGATTCAAATTCTGCTGCCCTGGTGTGCCAAACACTACACTGATCCTCGTAACAGGCATGTGAGGCAGGCACCATCCCCATTTCACAGATGGGGAAACAGGCTTGGGTTCTAAGTAATGGAGGTGGGATTCAACCTCAGGTCTGCTCACCTCAAGTCCAGTGTCATCCCCGTCTATTCCAGGAGGTATCCTGGCTTGATAGAAAATGAGCAAGCAGAACAGCTAAGGGGCACAGTCTCCTCAGCCTGCTGCAAGTGAGATGGTTGCAGGGTTTCCAGAAGAGCAGAGAAACAAAGCTGCCTCTCTTGTTCTTCTCTAGCCACTTTTAGAAAACCTCATGGGAGAGTGTTGGGGTGGGGGAGACTCTGCTGTCCTAGGCAGCAGATTTCTCAGAAAAAATTTCAATGGGTTCGTTTTTCCTTTGAAAATTAAAAAGTTTAAATTTGGCTTTAAAAATAGTATTTTATTATTTAAAAATATTGATAGTAATCATTTTATAAATAATATAATAATGCTGTCTTTAGAATCAATATTCAATTTAAGATATGAATTTCAAAATTTTTTAGGCTTTTAAGTTCAGCTTACAAATTCTATTCTATTTTTAAGTCTAGCAGAGTTCAGCAGTAACTTTGGAGGAGCCTTTGAATAATGTTTGGTCCTATTTACAAACTTACCTCAGCACTGCAAACACTTTTAAATGCATTTATAAATTTAATATATTTATTCCTTTTTAAAGTACTTCACTTTTTCTGACAGCATACAAAATCTTTCCAAATCCCAAATTCTTACAGAAATTAGTAAATTAAACTTATAAGGGACATGTTAAATGTTTTTACACTGTACTTAAATTTAGATGTCACCATAAAAAAACACAAATCTAAATTCATTACTCAATTATACATTTTAAAGTACAGGTATGAAACTGTCCCTCTAATGGGCTTTATTCTCCTAAATATCACATATGTAAAACAACAAATATGTGTAGATTCCTTCCTAACATAAAAATAATAGTGCTATAGTTTTGTTTATTTCAAACCTTTCTACACTAAAGTCTAAATCTTCCTGATGTTGGTTGTTAAGCTATTGTCTCTCAGCCTCAAGCCTTTTCTGTATTTTGGAATGCTGGGGCCAGATTGCTAACATTTCTGTTAGCTCCGTTACTGTTAGGCTCTGCCAGTAGGGGGGGGGCACTAGAGGGAGCTGGGAGGTTGGTGGACTGAGAAGAGAGGTGCCCATCTCCGTTGTCTGCCTGCATGGCCTGGCAGGGACAGTTGGGTCCAGTGGCACTGGCTGGGTCCAGTTTGCGGATTTTCCTCACTCCCAGAACCAGCCTCAACATCTCCCATGAAAGACAGCCACACCAGTGGCCTGGGCCCCTCTGCAGACATCTGGAGCCCAGCTCTTAGGGCCCCTCCTTCAACCCTTTACATGTCAATCAATCCCAACGCTTCCTTTTGTTTCCCTACTTCTAAGAGGGGTAGTTGCTTCCTGCAGTCACTCTTCTGTGATTCCCGTGTCCCCTCTTCGCCATTTTATTTGAGCAATACCTGATCAGTAATTCCTTATATTCTCTCTGCTAAAATGATGGATGTGGCTTCTGCCTCTGATGAACCAGGGCTGAAAATAAATTCACTGAAAAAGACAGTCACGATCTCAGTTAACCCAGCTTACTCACTGAGAAAGTTCCTTTAGGCATGAGACCCAGAACTGCAGACATGCAGAGAGATAGATCCCTCTTACTCCCACCTAAGGACACCGCAATACCTTTTCAGGTAACTGTTGCGATTGCTTCTTAACATCCTTGAGAGTACTGGTGAATGTTCTTGACTTGTCAGCATTCCCAAGAGACACTGATGCTATTTACGATTGCTTAGTCAATGACTTCATGACCTAAAGGAAGTGATCTTGTAAGCAACTGTCTTATACAATTGTCTAGTTTTTCAGTCTTCTTTCAGAAGTATGCCTCTCTCACCAGGTCACTCATTAAATTGGTTTTAATTTCCAATTTTTTGGCCTTCGATGACTCTTGAGAAGAATCCTAAGCAATGTAAATGTCTTGAACCTAATAGGCTCCTGAATTCTATCATATTGTCAGGATCATGTAATTTTTAACAAATACCTAAGTTTCAGTCTGATATCAGTTAAATATCTCAGATAACTCTGTCTGGGGCCACCTATGATGTCATTCCTTTCTCTGTAGACAGAACTAGGATTAAGTCTCAATTTCCTGCCAACAAATTTTTGCTGCCCATTCCATGGCAGTTTTGAGAAAGGCTCAATAAATGGCAATAGCATAAGGCTTCTGGTTCTGGCTATAGGAGAATGTCTTGCATCAGATTAATCTTCCTGCCAAAATAATTATAAAGCTGGACAAAACATATAAAGCAAACTCTTGAAGGAATCGGAGAGCACCCAGTGCAGGCAGGATCTGAATGGCTGTGACCCCTGAGAGAAGGTATGAGGCAGGCTTCACATTCATCCTAGTTTTTCCCAAATC